TAGGCTGCTGCCTAGTCTGTCATAAATACCTCCTTAGCCTCCTCCAGGGTGTGGTAGTGGAACTTCTCCTTCTCTAACGACTCCACGAGGGAGAAGTGAAGGTGGTGAATGTTCTCTACAAACTGCTGAGTCAACATCAAGTGCTGTTTCAACATGGCGTTTAAAACGAGAACCGACGGGCTGTACGCTGTCAAGCCTGCAAGACAGGGGCAGTACGTACTTCAGTGACGCCTTCCAGGCAGACAGCAAGGGCTAAGCAATCCCACAGGGGTTAGGTGCATAAAATATAGCCAAACAGAACAGTAAGAAAGACGTTTTTCAGTACCTTCTACTGCCTCCATGCTGACGACGCGACTGGCAATAGGTGCGGGATCCACGTAGCTGTTCCCTACAGGTGGGTCACGTACTGCAGAGGTGTTAGCTGTGTACGGGATAAAATCAGAATTACGGGTTTGGAGGGTGCAAGGGGTTAGCCCTAGGACTCGCTTCATCTTCAGCCGTCTCTTGAGACAGCAGTTGCCACAGAAACGCGGTGGAGCCTAACGGGGAATTCTGACGCCAAAAAAATGCTAAAATAGTTCTGTGACCTCCGCGGTTTCCTTACTCTGCCGTTCCCAATGCATGCCATTGAGGAAGGCACCTTTTCTAACCCTAGACAGAGCAAAAATAAAGGCTTTTCTACTTGAAGGAAGCTACAGTTTTCAAGCACACCTGAGTTTCTACTTTCTCCTCCTTGAATGTGGCAAGAAGTGGCTCTTACCGCTTTTTCCTCTAAGAGAGGCAGGAAAGGAGCTAGCCCTCAGAAACAGTTAGAGGTCACCTCGCTCTCTGTAAATGGGGCCATAGGGCTTTCCCAAGAAATAAATACAACGCAAAAAAAGAACCCCGCAATGGGCGACCGCTTTAGTAACACTGCAATAGTGCTGTTTACAATAGTAAAGATACAACAAAAACGTTGAATCCCGTCTGAGAATATTACTCGGGCTATTGCAAGCCCTGTCGCTAACACCAGCTCATCCATCCAGAGTTCCCGTTGGGTTTTTTTATAGCAAAAACCAGTTCCCAGTTCTTCTTCTGTTGTCCAATCCCAAACTTTTCTACAGATAGCAGATTCAAGTGTTGGGCTTTAGAAAGTTTTTAATTTAATGCCAGCTAGGGGAAGCTAGTACTGACACTAACAACTCTCTCAAGGCTGACTAGGCTAGTGGATAAAATATAAAAAAATGTAAAAATTGCCTGAACAGGGCAGTATCTTGTGAACTTACTCTTTGACCAGCAATAGGCGAATGGAGGATCCACTGTCTGAACCGCGGTTTCTTTGACAGTTACTCTGCGAACCTGGTCCTGCCGCGCTCTGGTAAATAAAGGTGACGATGCCGAAGATGGGTGTTTTCCAGAATACGTGCGGCTCTCAGAACGTCCCTCTGACATTCTCGATACAGATTCCCTGTCTGTTGTAGACGGAGACCTTTCAAAGTCTTCAGAATATTCTGAATTAACAGTTCTCTCATCGTGATCAAGGTAATCCTGTTTCTCCCTAGGGAAATCTGCAGAAACTCCACTTAAATGCTCAGAGATTTCAGCTTCAGTCACGGTTTTTTCAATATCCCCTTCAGAAGCATCATGCACACCAGTTACTGCACTTATTTGAAGAGAAGCTTGGTCCTTTTCCACCAGGAATGTATCTTTTTTTGGATTTCTCTTTGATTCTTGAGAAACTGGAATGTCTGTCCCCTGTAAAACAAAACGGCTGTATGTTAGGAGAATCAACCACATAACCTAGAATATGCCTCCGTTAATATTCATCTGTTCTGCTGCATATCACTGAGAGTTAGCTACTACTTTATCAGGAAATAAAAACGTTGCTCTTCTGTGTCACCTTGCAAACTGTGCAGTGCTGTTACACTTAGTAAGGAAATGCAGACACTAAAAAAAAGAATTCGGTCAGGTTTCAGCAGACTGTAAAATCCCGAGCTAACCTTACAGCTAGGCAGGCATGCCTACCGCAGCTCGCCGATGAGAAGAATGGAAGCATTTCTTTTAGAATATCCACCCTCCACCAAACAAAGGCAGAATGGAAAAATGTGCTAATAGGGAATTTCCACTTACTTTTTGCTTTAATTCTGCTGCCTCACTGGTGATATTTGGTGCCAAATCATCAAGGCTGAGGATATTCAGTCTGAAGTCTGCAATCAAACGACAAATCGTCATGAGAATTTGCATGAACATTACGGTACGCTTTCCCTTAAGTGAGAAAAGTGGGGAAAAATACATCAGTACTACAGTCCTAGTTTAAAGTGTAATACGAAAAAGTAATAGCAGTCAATCACTCTAAACCTTTAACTTAGCAGCAGCTCTTTCTAAAGTTTCCCCCTTTGCCTGTGGTGGCTCTGCCAACCCAAGTTCAAGAGATTCTTGATGCCCCTCATTTACACTTGTTCTCACTCAGACCCATTAGTACATCGTCCCACTGACGTGTGAGAACTGTTCTAACTGTTGTAATTGCTTTGACGTCATAATTAAGTGTCACCCAGGGAAGCATCATTAAACTGAACCGAAAGCCAAGAAAAATACAAATACATTACACTAGAAAAAAGAAACAGACCAACATAATTCCTTTGAGAAAGCCTTGGTTTATGAAAAATCACACTACTGAATTCTTTCGAAGTGAATATTTGCCCATGTTTATTAGTAAATTTATCAGGAGATTAATAGTACAACTCATGCCAAGTCTACCGAGACAATATTTTAGACCACTTACCATTTGAGCTGCTGCTGGTTGAATCTTCTGCATCAGCTGCGTTTGAAAACAATTCGTCTAATGATTTGATTTCACTTCTGTCACTTCCAAGTGATATTTGGCTTTGCTTGGTGCTGCCCGTTCTAGGCAGAGCAAGCTTTACAGTATTGTCTTTCATGGAAGCAGACAGCGATCGCGTATTATGTCGCACTGACAGGTTTCTGCTGGCTGGTGAAGGTGTTGGTGAATTAACTCTACCCAAAACATTTTCTTCCGAGTCTTTGCTATGAAAAGAAGATGTTTTAGACACTTCTGTCGGTGAAATT